TTATCAGACTTTAGTTACAATAACTTAGAAAAAGTTACTTTTTAATCCCAAACTTTGTACATGAAAATGTATTGTATATGGAAGTTAGATAACTAATGTTTAGAAACAATGAATAATTTATTTGATTGTTAGTCACCTGTTACAATAATAGTGCACAATTTTTCAGAGTTGTTATTCCTGACAATTTCTTTTTTTTTACATGTTCATGAGAATGTTTATGACTATGTTGGAGCCTTAAATGTTGTATAATACTAACCAGTTACTCAAATTCTTTGTAAGAATAAGTGAAAGAATAATCGTAACTCATTTAGTATTTTTGAAAATTGTTTAACCCTCTCGCCATGGGTATTCTTTACTGCACATGACACAAAGTTTTAGTGTCTTACATTCAAACTTTTTGTTTATGTGATACCAATTAGTATAGCATAAAATTTTAGCTAATGATCCTTATTTTAATAGTATATAAGTTTTAAGTTCTTAAATTGACAAGGCAATATTTAAAAAATCCTGAATTTCCACTAGTGTGACCCACATGACACATTTTCTCCCAGCATGTCATCATCGCTGTTTTATCCACAACCCATCTCTATAAAAGTTACTCTCTATAAAATTGTTATTCCTCAGACAAACCATAATTTTTATAACATTCAATTATGTTTGGTGACAGAACTATCAAATAGAAAATCATACCCCTCCTGCCACACCCATCTGTTACATCCTATCTTTCAGAATTCACTGATAATTTTCTCTTACATTTCATCATATATTACCTATAACCAATAGAAAGTCAAGGTTTTCATTTATCAATTGACGTATTGTATAATGTTGTATTCTGAACAAATTATTGTCAGTTTCACTCACAGAACAAGATTCATTCCCATGAGAAAGTTAACGACTAGCTTAGATGAATTTGTAACGGCTCTTGCTGCATAGTTAGAAAGCCAGGAAAATTTCGAGAGGTAAGTGAATTTGTATACTTTTTGCATGTTATTAGTTTATATTCTTTGTTGCATTATTTAATTAACTAAAAATTATTAAATGCATTACTGTCTAGTATAAAAAAAAATTAGAGTTAACTCTCTTTGAAAACTGACAGCAAGAAAAAGAAGATTGGTTATGTATTATATTTCTTGTTTTTCATATTTATTCTTTATGTATAATTGTAAAAGTAACAAAAATTTAAAGATAGGGATCCTTTTAGGTTTTTTAAGATTAGTTTAGGTAAAATAAATAATAATAATAATATAATACAAATGTTTCACAAGGCAAACACGCAAGCAGCTCGTGGGTAATGAAATTCGTTAGTGTAACATGAGCTGCGTGTTCCCTGAATGATTTACGACTTAATAGTGCAGAGAGTAGTTAGACAGGGTTCAAAGGGCAATAAAACAATAAAATTTAATTATAAATGGATGTATACTGTTACAACCTTAGAGCTATTTAGGATAAACGAATGTAGTTTCATCTTACAATTTGAAGTCATTCTAGAAAGAAAAAATGGGTAATTTAGATTTATTTAAATTTTTTTTTGGTGATTATGATGTCTGTTGATTTAACCTATCCCATTTTGAGATAGGGTAGAGAAAATAACTGATAAACTATAAAGTTTTACTGAAAAAACGTTTGAAATGCATTTAAGAGGTTTTAGGAATTACACAAAGGAAATTTGAGATTTTGGAGATGAGGAAATGTATTTTTTAATTTTAACATGAAAATTACTATGCACACGGACTACTTAGAACAAGGCAATATATTTTTTCCCATAATCTTTATTATATTTTATTCAAAATACTTCACTAAAAAATATTATTTTTTGTATGTGAACAGACTTGTAATATTAACTGAAAGACTTTTAAATTTTTTGAAGAAATACACACTATATTAAAAGTTAGAAGTATTAAATATTTAAAGACTTTAAATGAGCACAAAGAGGTTATGTGGTCAGTCAAATTGACCGAGCCCGTGTTGAGAGAGTTAAGTAGCCTAAATTTAAAGTGAACAGAAAAAAATAAAAATTAGCATAACATTAATGTCCCCTAGTAGGTCAGTGTTAAATCTATGAATTTACAACACTAAAATCAGGGGTTCTATTACACAGGCATGCAAATTTAAACTTCATAAAAGTAGTTTTGCTTTAATAACAGATTTTCCATAATTGAGCTATGCAGGTTTCGCAAATAATATTTATTTTTTTGGATCACTTAAGGATTGTTTAGAAATCGGGAAGAAAAACTCTTACTTAGATCAAATAATTATTTCGTTTACCACAATGAACATTTTTTATTATTATATTTGTTACGTGTGAGTTCTTGAATAATCAATAAGACTCGCATCGCAATTGGTCTAGAGAAATCTATAGCCAGCAGTTGTCAACATTTTAAGCATAACAAAATGTGACCTGATGTCAAAGAAAATGATTCACTTATGTAAAAGTACATATGACGTTTTGTGAAAAATCTGTATGTTATGGAGAAAAATGGATATCATTTTGGAATTCACTGTACAGGAATTACTTTAGAACATGTAAGAATTTCAAGACAATAAAACCATCACATGCCTGTGTTACCATCGGTGGACACAGCATCTAGCCTGCAATAACAAAAACACACACACAGTAACAATAATATAATTTGTAAATAAAACCTCATAATTATAACTATCATATATAGTTTGAAAACCATTAGAGAATGAATAAGGATAAAACTACAAAGTCTATTCAGAGAATACAGAATTACTGTATCATCAATTAATATTAATGTTTACCTTTTCCATGCTGGTTGTGGTAATGTTTCATTTTTACATTAATGGTATGATACCTGTTAACTTTTTGAAAGTTCGGTGTGTGGTACTATAACTAGATTTTCATTATTTTTTACAAGAAAGATACATCTACTACAATAATATAGTTTTGGGATTAGTCCATGTTGGTTGACCATATGGTCTTAAAGTGACCTAAATAAGTTAGGTAAATTTAAAATAACATTAATATATATATTCTGTAAATGATTAGCTCGGTGATGTTATAATCTATCAATTGCAAAGCTTGTATCTTAATTTCTAGTAATATGATTAATACAAAAAAAATGGTTAAACATAAAAATTTCATGTTTTTCTTAGATTAAAATTAAATAATTAGAATTATTTACCATATTTCAAAAACATTATAGCACTAGTAAGAAGGATACTTGCTTTTAAAAATGTTTTAAGAAGTTTTTACTTATAAAGCCACACCACTTGCCTTTTCACTTATCTTAAACATCATCAGTAGGAAAAAATTTTTCTTGCAAGAATTGTAACTTCTAAAAATGAAAATCAATGTTTTAACAAGGTTATGTTATAAGAGCTACAAGTGTTTTAAACAATTCCTATTTTAATGAAAATGAATCTTTTAATATCTAGACACATTGTTAAGACTGTCTGAAAAAACCAAGAAATGAAATTTACCATGACAACATTTAATTGACACTCCCCCACTCATATAAATCTATTCCTGCTCATAAAATATTAAAGAATACTGTTGTGCAATTATAAGTTAGAAACATAACATAAAATAAAAAAATACAGTAAATTAACTCTTTATTTAAAACTTAAGTAGCCAGATAGTTGGCAGTGGGTACTGCCAGCCAATTGCCTTCCTTGTAGTCAGCAGTATATAATTAGAATCAGTGGAAGTTAGCCTTAGCAGCTTTGTCATAACAAAGACAGGGTGAGCAAGTTTCGTGATAATGAGAAACAAACCAAAGACCCATGTTTGCCAAAACTGAACAAACTTGAAAGTAAAAAAAATAGATCTTATAATGCTCAAATAAGGTTTTGACACCCAAGTTGGCAGAGCACAGATAGACCATTATGTAGTACATAAAAATTGCACTTATTAACAAGCATACATAATGGCAGTATTTTGATCACTTGGATAGTTGGAAAAATCAGAAACCCTAATTTCAGATAGTTGATTATTTTTATGACAATTAATTTTTTATAATTTCCATTAATAGATTATTTTGCATGACACTAATTGATGTAATCAATGCTTATTGGTAATTGATTATTTCAATTAAATTGCTTGTTTCTACCTATGACTAGTAAATTTGTACCCATTTTATGTTTTCTACACTTTCCTCCCCATCAAAATGACTAACAGAGCAATTCAAAAGTTGACTGGCTAGTGCACCTAAAAACTTTCACTGCACAGTTACTTAAAGAGACGTAAGGTACAGGATTAGGGTCATTAGTATACCCATCTTCAAGGCAAAACCAAGGCTAATAACTAACTACATATACAGTATGTGCATTAACTTTCATAAAATAAAATCTTTACATTTGTCTGAATACATGTATGAAAATGACAGTCACCCATTACTAAGATTATCCTACTAATTAAACCAATTTTCAGGTATCCCACAATTGGTTTTAAAGTCTGGGTCATCTTCTAGTACTGCCATTTTACTACTATAATATCATAGTATTGTTAAGGTATTATTGTTGTTTTATTATAATATTATGTCACCAGTACCATCTTACAAATTAAAATGTTGTTTTTTTACCATATTGTTATTACCTTTCTTTCAGTTTGTGATTAGATGATTTTCATGGTAAAAAAAAAGTATTTTATGACAAACTTAGCACCTTATTTGGTATTTTGACACTAGTGAAAAATTTTAGTCAGATATAAACCATTTATGATCAGTTAATTCCACTAATGTCTCATAAAACTGCTGACCCAACCAGAAAATATAATTTAAATCATAACTTTGATAATTAAAAAAAATAAAATCATTAAAGTTCTCAGTTTGATGTTTTAAAGGTAGCTAATAGTCATCTGTTGAATCAGTAAGTTGCAACTTGTATACATGTTTGTATCACATTTGTGCATTTAATGGTTAGAAGAAAGAATTCCAAAGTTTTGTATGACAGGGTTGTTTTTTCATATTCCTGAAAAAATGTGTTTCATTCCTTTAGATCCTCACAGCAAAGATAAATGATTCTGTTTCCATATTCAGGACCCATGCTGTTGGGATGATGTTCTGATTGCTGGCAGAATTCCTGGGGTTTGTCAAGCTGATAATTGCTCTGGTGACACAGCAGAATTTTATTTCAAGTGTTCTAACCATGAGTCACAAGAAGATCAAGCTGTGGCCCTGTACTTAATTAAGAATAATTTTAGAGATGTTCCATGTTTGGCATGTACTGAAGTTAGGTAGTTTTCTCTATTCTTTTTTATCATGTTATATAAGATTACTTAGGAATATTACAATCTAATCAAAAACACCTTAGGCCATGTATTTTGTTTTACCAACCATTATGCCCCAAATTGAGCAAAAAGCATGGCCTGGCTAATTAATGAATGGATATTTGCTGTAAAATTCTTAGCTACCATTTTGGCTGCCAATTTTGCTTTCATTCCTTTAAATCACATGCTCAGTCCTTTTTTTTGGCTGCACCTGTTTTTCACACCTAAGATGTTTTTGATTAGATATCATAACTTTTTGTCAATATACACCAACAAACCATGCCAAATAAGAAAGTGACACTCACTTGTAACCCACTCTAGTTCTAGGGTTGCAACCCTATTATTTGGAACAGATCTTTACTTTATGGAACCAATCAGATTCTTTAAAATATATGGTGGTAGTTTTTCCTGTCAAAAACAGTGTTAATATCATCCTTTATAGTAATTCCATGGAATTTAAATTAACAATTTCTTGTCATCACCCCCATGCAGTTAGTACAGCTGTATCAAGCACCATTATTTATGCTAATTGCTTAAGCTAATATCACATGATGCTAAATGCTCTTTAGTTAGGATAATTTCATAAAATTTAGTAAATTTGTGCTAAAAATTTGGAAGTGAATAATGAATAATAATCGTCCACCCGTATGATTCTTTTGAAAACTTAGCTAGAAACTGCTAATCTAGTTTGCATGGGCTAACCAATACTTATGTATCTGCACATCCTTTCACCTTATAGTTTTGCTGCTCTGAGTCAGCAATCTTTAATATGAATGCCTAAAACTAAAAATGGTCCACTTTTACTCTTAGATGAAGCTGTTGTAAAAAGTGGTAGACCGGTAACTCACATGTGTTTTTGTGTAGATGTGCACAAAATCTTTTGTCAAATTTGGGTGTTTTTTTTTTAATAACTTTGCACATGTGGTTTTTATTTACACCAAATGAGACTCCTAATTGTAGGTTGAAAAGATCTATCAGTATACCAAATTTGATAAAAATACACTATAGTTAAGTATGTTTTTTTATCAAATAAAGTTTCTGTACTTTTGGTTCGAAGAGAAAAAATCATGAAGAAACTCGATCAAAATTGGAGATGTTATATCTCAAGTATTTCTTAGTTATGTGTGTTGGTGAGACATATTGTTCTGAAATAGACTTGGGTATTTAGTTGTGAATATAACTGACCAATTAGTGGAATTTGCTAATCAATTAATTGTGGGGCTCATTATTCGATTATATTCAACTAATTGATTATTCTCACATAAGACTAATCTTTCTATTTTCAGTGTGTTTTGGTTTTTTTAAAGACATTTTTGAACTTATTTACTATAATAGTCATCTTAAGACAATTTAAGATTAAGTAACTTTTTTAAACCTAAACTGTAGTGTATGAAAATCTTTCGTATACACAGGGTAATATGAAACATATAACAAGCTGAAACTATGATTCATACCATTCCATGGATTTCTCCTATAAATTTTCATAAGATTACTAAAACTAAATAAATTAGTTCTTTGTTAAAAGTAATTATCTTTATACTTCATATTAGAAAACTAGTAAAGATTCTTGTCACATTGTGTGATAGCCAACCTATAATTCAATGAAAACAAATTCACACTAGTCCTAGAAAAACATAGGCCATACCATGTTTGATATTTGGTAAGAAAATCTGTGAGGATTTTGAATGACACTCTCTTAAAATCACAGTAAAATGAAAAAGTCTTAAAAAATGTTTAATTTATTTAGCGAAGAGGAAGAGGACAAATTACTGGAAAGCCATGGATCTTGCATACAGATTTAAGGTCTGAAAACACAATCTGGTAATGTTCCACTGAAAAACAAGACAAGATTTTTTATATTGTGGCAAGATATGTTGTTGCTACAGAAACATGTTAACGTTGATCATGCTATTATAACTATATAAGATCATAAGAAATGAGAAACAGCAGTACTACAACTGTTGAGTCTGAATATGGCACACATTAACCCTTTTGCGATGAGCTTGATGTAAAATACATGAGTTCGTATACACATTTGCACACGTTAATTATTTTTACCATAGCTTTTAATGCAGTATGTGTATCTTCACAAAATTTGGTAGAATTTTAGTAAACATTACAAGTCTTTTATACACAAAAAATTAGATTTTTTAACAAAATATATCGAGTCTGTTTCGTTACTAATCTGAGTGCAAAGTGATTTTCATGTTATGATTAAAAAAACTATTCTTTGTTCCAAAAATCTCAACTATCATTTGTGTTATCTCTACAACCTCCTAAGTACATTTCAAATGTTTGTTTTCGGCAAAACTTTATATTTTATCTACCGTAACTGTATACAGGGTCTGTCAATTTGACTGACCTCATAACCACCATAAATAATTATGAAATATATATATATAAATTATGCTTTTTTCATTCCAGAATGATTACAAATTATAACATGAAAACAAAAATGTGTAGTCTAAATAGCTTTAATCTCATAACATTATACATTTATATATATATATATATATATATAGTTATTTATTTTATTATTATTTACTTATTTTCAGTACGCTGTGTCCGTGGTACTAAACAATAACGAGAAGTAGTC